CCACGATCCCCGACAAACGTGCTAACATTGCATCTTTCTCTTCCCCGTAGGCGCACCGTCTAATAACCCAAATCGTCTTCGTCGGCAGCCGCATCGTAGGCCGTTCCTTCATGGCCGCCTACCGCCAGGCGCAAGCCTCGTCCGAGTTCGCCCGCGCCCAAGCCAAGATGGGCGGAAACGCCGCCACCGCCGGCCGCGCCAACCTCTCCAGCGGCATGACTCTCGACGAGGCCTGCCGGATCCTCAACGTCAAGCCGCCCAAGAACGGCACCGGCGGCGCCACCGCCGAGGAGATCGCCGACCGCTTCAAGCGGCTCTTCGATGCCAACGACCCGCAGAAGGGCGGCAGCTTCTACCTGCAGAGCAAGGTCCTGCGCGCGAAGGAGAGGCTGCAGAGCGAGGTCGAACCTATCATCGAAAGGGCGGAGCAGGAGGCCGAGCTCAAGGAAGGATTCAAGCCGAAGATTTATAAGGATCGGTGAAGAGGGGAACCACCGCCATTTTTCTCTTTCGCTTCGGACGACGGGGACGATTATTCGATGGACACTCCGCGTTGTTCGCAGTTGTGACACTCTTCTAGAGCCGTCATGATGACATGCGGGGGACCTGGACGTCAACCGTTGGCGAGATGGGCTTGCACGCTCGATATTTCTAAACGACTTCAGGGGGTGGATGGGCACCACACATACCCTGGCACGCAACACATACACATACACACGCACACACAAACACAAACACACACACCTACGCAACACCGCTTCTCTCGACTCTGCATGGACATAGCACGGCATGGCGTTTTTTGGGGGGGTTGATGGCTGACTCCAGCGGGATGGGGTCATGCTGGCATTTTGGACGAATTCCTTTTAGACGATAAAACAACCGGGGCTGCTTGCTTTGCTGTAATATCCACTGTACAATATCGAGGCAGACAGAGGTGGAGGAAAAAAGAAGGGGGGGGGGAGGGACAGGGGTTCAGGGAAGACGGGCCCTTGATCTTGATGTACAATCTTTACCTAGCTTGAGAAAGCGTCGTCTTCGTCTTCCCGTCCACATTCGTCTTCGTATGTATGCACTGTCTCCCAAGTTCGGGCCTGACGTGCCCATGACGTGCCACGGATCTGCGTCCTTTCTGCCCGAAAATTCCTTAGCAGCATCGTTCAATTTGAGAGACGAATGCGCCTCGCAGGGGACGTGTTGCGCTTCATTGCTTCATTGAAGTGGAGCTGTTTGATCTGCGCGGATCACACGCGACCCGACACCCCACAGCGGCGGCAACAGTGGGCCAAGTTGAGATGACGGCGAGAATCGTGATAGATACGAATGTCAGTTCACTTGTCCGCAGGTCAGAGGGACACAGATTTGCAACATGAGACATGATTTCTCGGTTTCCTTTACTTCCATTTCTTGCTTTTCAAAGCCAGCCATCCCAAGGGTATCTAAGTTCTACAGCTTCCCTCAACTTATAAAAAGAATAAAAAATAAAATAAAAAAAAGACAAGAAAAGAAAAAGAAAACCCCAGTAAACCAACATAAGAAGATAACCAAAACGCTGTTGGTAATAAAACAAAATCCAAGAAAAGACAGACGACTGTCGCGAGGATGCCCGAGTTCCCATCACGCACCGCAGCTGCATCTGAGACTTCAGGTTTGAGCAGAGACAGTCCTATCGACAGGGCAACTACGTATACATCGGAGTGCCTAAGGAGGGCGGGCGCGGAGGACGTGGTGGAGCCGATGGATGTGATGTCGGCCGTGGCAAAGGACGTGGCGAAAGTGGCGTTGAAGGGTTGGGTGGCGGCATATAGACAGCGGCCCCTATGATTTCCGAACCAGGTCTATATTGGCCCGTACCTGACCCGATACTCGCTCGGGACTGCGTCGACCTCCCCCCAGCGGCGGCCTTCCTAGCGACACTGCCGTCCATGCTACGGACGGCATCCGTGGTGATGGCCGTACCCGGCGCGGGGACCAGATAGCCGAATGGCGATAGATCCGAGCTCAAGGTCCGTCGCTTGGGACGGGGCTGCAGGGGAATGGGAACTTGGTTTTCCGTTGGCCAGCCTGGCCGCCCGGGTCCGGTGACGGCTGGCTTGCCTAGAATCTCCAGATCGGCCTTGATGGCTTTCGAATGGGCAGGGTCCCGCTCTACGGGATGGGCGCCCGAGGATTCACGTTCTGGGTCGGGGGTTGTCTGCTCTCTTCGGCGGAGCCAGAACATGATGCCGAGAATGAGGATAATAAGGAAGACGATGACAGCACTCGATATTACTGTGGCGAGTTCGTCGGCGTTGAGAGGAGAAGCGGATGATGTGGAAGGTTCGCTCATTATGGATGATTGCGTGCTGAGGGAGGTACTGGTACTCTCTGATGAGGATGAGGGCGGGAGTGAGTTGTTGCCAGTCGTTGTCAGCCCAAAAGCAGCCGTCGTAGCCCCAGATAAAATGTCTGACGTCGAGGTAAGAGTCGATGGAGGATCTGTTGAACCAGGAAGCACCAGCGACGATGGCCGCAGAGAGATGGATGCGGTTATGGTGGGAACCGGGACCGAGGTGATTGCAACGAGACTAGACCTTGTGGTTGAGTTGTTTGGAGGCCGAATTTCACCCAGCTGGCGCTTGAGGGGGGCCAAGGGCGAGGATAATCGACTTTGCATCGAATTCGTTCTGCCGATAGGACGAAAAGACCGGGGTGTGGGTTGGGGACGAAGGAGGCAAACGAGGATGTTGCGAGATGCCAGAAATCCGAATCTCAATCTCTGCTGTGGCTCGCCTTTGAGGATAATCTCCTAATGCCTACCCTCACGTTCCGTCAACGCCTTCAAAAGTTCAAAAGAAGGAAAGAAAGGAAGAAAAAAAAGAAGAAGAAAAAGGTGGGCATCCTCGTCTTGATGTCCTTCTATGTCCCTTCAGCGCTACCGCAGGTCGGCTGATGATGCAGGCAATGGATCGATCTCGTATATTAGGGGGCTGAGAGGCTGCAACGACGGGTGACACCACGATAACGCAATAAGAGAAGCCGACAATGGGTGGGAGCAAGGTCTTGTGGTAGAGAAAGCTGGCATCCTCGGCACATCCTATCTGTACACCGTCTGGTCGACTTGAAGACTGAGGGACGAGACGGGGCGTAACAGGGGTATCGAGCCAGGTGGGCGGGGAAGAGAGAGTAGATAAGGCCATGGCCCATGACGGGAGATGTGCTTTCGTCCCAGGGGAAAAGGTACGGATAGTTCGGCAAGATGACAAGGATGGCAGCGGTCGGAAGGGCCTTATTTCTATGACGCCAGGTAACCACATCGAGTAGCCGTGGAGTAGAGGATGTGAAAGGGGCACCACAGTCTACAGTCTCTGACTGAACTCGACGGCGGGATCTTGCATCTGCAGGCCCCGCAAGGGGTTTGACCAGGTTATCGAAGCGCATGCACAATGGGGCTCAAGGTATGGACACGAACGAGAATGGGGATGGGTGCTCACATCCCGGGGGCGGATGATTCGCATGCATTGCAGGGTCAGTGGTACGAATCAGACAGTCGGTACGTCGTACAAAGTACGAAGGAGTGTTCGTGCGTAGGTATGGCGCGCGGGTTGCCGCATCGTCTCGTATTGCCTGGGATGCCCCTGGTCTGGCGTCGATTTCCGGAACACTTGTCCATGGGGCGGCGACACGGGCATGAAGAAGCTAAGGTTGTAGTTGCAGGGAGAGTTTCCAGGTGAGCCGTGTCAGACTGAGGGATACCTTGGTGTCGGTGGAGTGATGTAGGTAATGCGTACGCCGAGGTCTACCTCGGAAGTATCAAGGGCCAGCAGCCTGCTGAGAGGGGAAGATGGGAAGATGGGAAGATGGGAACGAGAGATGCTCAGGTGCCGAGGGAGCGGTAGATGTCGTGATGTCCCGTGTGATGTGTCCATAGACAACACTGTCATCACACGTTCTCGCAAGTTTGTACCCAGTTTGGATACAGTGGCAAAGCCAAGAAAAGAACGAGGGGTTCTTGGACAGCTTTGAACACGCTCGGGTAGTTAGCAAAGGGGATTCCGACACGAAGACGTTTGAGTCTGGGGTGACGCGGGAGAATTGGCGCCAAGTCGAACCCCCAAGGGCTGAAACTCGAGCGAGACGGACAAGACGGAGTGCACGGGCCTATCAACTGATCCACGTGACGCTACTCGTGACTTTGGCTCTGGGTTAGGTAATCGTAATCGGAATCTTGCGTCCAGTTCCATCTCACCATTGTCAGATAAAGCGGTCAAAATCGTCACAAAATAGGTCAAAATTTGATTAAGGCAATTATGTATATTTTTAACTGTCTTAGACTATCAGGGAAACGCTGCCACCGTATTTTATATAGTGCAGATTCTGTAAGCGTCTACCCGGATTATACTCTTTATAATCCGGCCTAGTATATAACCGAAAAGACTATAGTCTATCCGATATACCCCCTAATCGCCCTAAAACGTTAGTTAGGCGATTAAAGCTATTCGTAACCGGTAGATAATCTAGCTATATAATCTATTCGCTATATCCGCCCTTAAATTTATCTTCTAGGTCCTCTAAATATTCTATCCGGACTTCCTCTAGCTATTTCTGCTATAACTATTCCCGTATACCTATCACGCCTACCTAAGACCTGAATATCTTAAATTTCTCGCCGTATAACGCTTTCGTTAATCCGTCTACCACTATTTCCGCGCTTATAACGTACGTTATAAGTATTTACCCTTATTTCTTTACTTAACGTAACTAGTAGCCGTGGATATTAATATAGCGGAGGCGCGTTATTAATATACTAATCTCTTAATTAACTAATCGAATCGTTTAGTTATTATCGTATAAGATCATTAATTCCGGATCGTTAAATTCCACTCCTATACTAAGTAATAGGCGTTATATAAAGATACCCTCTTTTACACCTTATACTAACGCTAATAGCTCTACTTCTATTATAGACGTTATAACCATATCCTGCTTATTAGCGCACTACGCTATTATACCGCTAAATAAGCATATCACGTACGCTTAACTACTCTTTCGATTAAGGGTATTATTAGTAAATAAGGCGTTAGTATAGATTTCGATAGTATCGCTACCCCCTAGTTCTAACGTAAACGATTAGCTATTAATTAGATAAAGGATTAGATAATCGGCGGCCTCGTAGTAAATAGGCCTTAGATTAACGTTAAACCGATATAGCCTAGATACTATAAACGTGATATTAGGGCGCGATATCACTACTACGTATAGCATAGATCCTATTTTCCGTTAATAGCTTTTAACGTCCGTTAAGGTCCTTAAATAGGGCAGTAGTTCTACGATCTTAATTAGGTGCGTTAAGCGATAGTTACTACTATACTTACTATTTAGCTTTAAAAGGCGTTCTAATTTAGTAACGTAGTCGTATTATAATAGCTAGATTTTACGGGCGGCGTAGTCGCGAATAACCTTAATACTAAGGAACTACTATAGAGGATCGCTACTATAACCGCGCAGATACGGCGTTAGAGTGGTTCGGCAGACGGTTATATAACCCCCCTTTTAAGGCCGCTGGATCCGCTGCCTATATATATATTAAGGACAGGCTCGGGACATCCCTATCAAGGGATCAAGACACAATTATTATCCTCTTTTATAATTACTTATTCCACGTTTAAGGTATCTTTCTAGTTTAACTTACGTTACCCTAATCAGAATAATAACCACCGATCTACTTCTTCGCAGAATGTTATAGCGGTATTAGTTATATTTTAGTTATATATCGTGGTTTTACTAGACTAACCTCTTTATCTAATCTTTATCTTAACGATCTAGTGCCACTACGTCTTTATATAGTTATAATATAGTGCTCGGAGGCGGATTTATTCGGCGTCCCTAAAGTATTCTAACCCTGATTAGAGTAATAAAGGCGCTCGAGGGAGGTTCCGGCCCTCCTAAACGGACTATCGGTTAATAACCCTAAAAAGAATATAAAGATAACGACTAAGGAAGGATTTAAGACTTTAAGACCGAGGGGAGATTTACCCTAATAAGATCAGGAAAAGAAATAACTATTTAGGTAAGAGTTAAAGAACTATTAACACTTTTAATTATAAGACCCGCCGTTACGGAGGTAGTAATTATAGAAATAAAAGAAACCGATTAGATTATAATAGAGTTAGATTCCGAATATAGAATAGACTCGATAGGGGGCTTATAACCCTTACCACTAATTAAAATAAATTCTCGTATAACGGCGAAGAAAAGATAAGACCGCTAAGAGCAGCTTACCCGGATTAGGGTAACTAACCCCTAATAGACCTAAAAAAAGCTAATACCGAGTATAGGAGCGAAATAATAATACCTTATAAGAGGACCCGATAGTCTAGTAAGGACCTCCATAGACCCCGTAAGCAGGTTATAATACTTCTTTATAAGGCTTAGCGGGTAATACTTTTAATATTAATATCCGTAAGTATAGTCCCTTTACTAATAGGTAATCTCCTAATTATAGGGGGCCTTTTCCTTTAAGGTGAGTTAGAAAAGCTAGACCCTGAAGATAAGTATTAAGGAGTAAAACTTAGGACCGTCCTCTCGTTAAAGACCTTATCACTCTTATTAAGATAAGATAATATATATAATAACCTGGCTAGTATCTAGAACACTTATAGGATCTTCTTACTAGATGATTAGTTCGAAGAACCTTTCCCTAAATATCCTAAGCGCCCTAACCCTATTATTATTATTTGCCTACCCCCTTACACTTACACCTAAAATACTATAGATACTTAGACTTAGTATCGCGAGCCTACCCCTATTATCGTCGTTAGCGACTCTAACGATAAGGCTCTCTCGCCGGCTATTCTCTCTATTCTTACGCCTGCCACTTCTACTACCCCTAATTAGGGGAACCACGATATCGGGGCTATAGCCTTACCTCCGCCCGCTTTTAGGCCGACTACTATATCTACTACGGCTCCGGCTACTATTTCGATAACTACCCCTAATACTACCCCTATTACTACCCCTGCCTAGCCTATCTTTACTACTTAGCCCGCTTCGAATATTTCCCCTACCACCGCTAAAGACCTAATTAAGCTATTATAAGCCCTAATAAGCCGTGACTAAGAGAGCACTATTACCGAGGTCGTTAAAGCCCTACCCCCTACTATTACCACGTTAAAAGCACCCCTAAATCCCCTCGCTATTAGAGCTCCCCGCTTTAATAGTAAGTCCCTCTCTATATTCCTTTAGCAGTACGATAACTACACTAAGCTTAACCGCCTTAGTAAAGCCGATAAGATCACCTATATTAACCTATACACGGATACGGCTATTCGTCCCGCTATCGAACGCCTAGTTAGAGAGGTTTAAGCCGATAAGGGCGGTTAGTCTAGTCTAGCTAAAAAGCTTATTAAAGAGTTCTTTTATCCGGATCCTAACTACTAACTTAACTTCTCTTATAAGGTTTATTAGCTTCGGGTAAAGTATAAGACGTATAAGATTAATAGCGTTTATTAGGTTAGGGACTTACTATAGTAAATCACTATCTAAAAGGCTAAGGCCGAGCGGGTTTAAGGCACTTTTATCGAAGACTCTAAGCTCTACGGTATTATTCTTACTATTCTATATAGGGATATCTATATATTTATCGCTAATAAGCTTAAGGTCCGAGGCACCGATTTAAGAAAAATAGTTAAGAGCTATAGACTACTTTCGGAACTACTATATAAGTGGTCTACGGATATCTAGGAAGTAGACGGTAAGCTAGTAGATAGGGATATTATACTAGGTACGGCTAAGTCTAATTAGCCTAATAGTGCCGTTTTCCAGCCTACTATCTTAAAGCGGCCTATTATAGTCCAGGAGTCTACGGCCTCTTAATTAGATATAGATAAACTCGCCGACCTCCTTAAGAAATATACTATTTCCCTTATCTATAATAGAGCTAAAGACGTTAGGGGTATTACCGCCTAAGTACTCGCCCTATCTAAGAGGATAAGCACGGAGAAGGTCTAAGCCCTCCTCGCCACGAAGTCTAATCTAAAAAACGCCTTTATACCGTCCTTAAGCACGCCCCTTAGCCTACGATAACTACTTTAGTATACTTTGCTACCCCTAATTAGGCTAATAGTGCCGCTTCCTAGCCTAATAACGCCTAGTATACCGAGGAGATCTACTACGGAGGACCCCGCCCTAAATATAATAACTAGCGTAATAATAGCTGCCCGACCTAGTAACACGATAACCGCCTAGGATAGCAGAGAGGTACTTAGAATAATAGCTAGCCCCTACTAGCTCGCTACTACTACTACGGCTAATAAAGATATTAAAGAGATAACTACCCTATCCTAATCTATAATAGCGCCTATAACCTAGTTAAGTAGGAGTTCCCCGCGTATTTAGTTATAGATTAGACCGGTACCTAGGTAGCCTACCTAAAGAGTAAGCTACGAGTTAACGAGTACTAGCTACACCAACGCCTTATACTATATTAGCTAGCCACTAAGCTTTATAGCCGATTTAAGGAGCTCGTAGACCTCTATATTAAGACCTTTTAGCCCGTTACCCTCC